CTCTTTCCCCAGAAGGCAAATTAAAAACAAATTAAAAGTCATGTCTTAAAATGAAACATCCTTTGATTTCAACAGATTTCATGTGAGCACATGAACCTGAACAGCCTGAGAGGGTACTCTGAAACCGCAAAGAAGCCCTGGTCGATCTGTCTTGATGAGAGATTTAGCCTCATTCATCGAATCAGAAGCAAGCAATGCCGTCTCTATTCCCTTGGGTAAGTGCTGTCTTTGAAAGACAGCAAATTTTTTTATAACACCTAGCTTCAAAAAAGCTCTGTAAATACAGCACGGGCTGCAACAAGGTTGTCTTTTAATAGATGTTCGGGTGTGTTTGTTACATGTTGATATGCTTCTGTAAACTGTGTTTTTAGGGAAAAACCTTTCTCCATGAGGGTCTCTGTTTTCCTTTGCTTTTCTAATATCAGTATAAAAACAAATTGCTTAATGGTGAGTAGTGAGTGGTAGAGGAAGATGGAAATTAGTGAGATAAACCAAGAAGCCTACAGCATCTTCCCTGAGCAGAAATGACTTGCATAATTGCCAGGTACTTCAGCAGCATTACTTATAATACTTCATTAACTACCCCTGGGACAAAATGGTACATTTCCATATGAGAGTGTTTGCTGAGCACATCAGGGGTGACATGTGCCAAAGCGATAATAATAATGGCAGTTGCAGCGTTATTTTAGAACGTTTGTAGTGTTTATGATGTTTACAGCACTTGAGATTGAAGTTTTCACTCTTCACAGAACAAGTGCTTTCACAGGTAGTAAAACCACAAATACAGCCTGTTTCCCCGCTAATAAAACACTCTGCTTCCCGGGAGGATGAGGGAGGTCAGTCCTCAGAGTTTGTCAGGTCACTGGCCTTTCGCATTACCCATCAGTGCACGGGTGCATTAGGAGAACGGTCGCTGGGATCTGGAGCTCATTTCACAGAGATCACTACATGGCTGCAGCCTAATAAAACTGCCTTTGCTGTCCTGGGAGCCAGCTTTAGGCTAGAGGTGTATTGAGAGGCTTCATCTCCCTTGAACCAGCACAGTGTATTTCTGTGATTTTGCTGCTGTGGGTTTACAAAAGGTGGATACCAAGGAGCTGTGTCTGGGTGGTATTTCTCAGTGATTAGGACGTGGCAGTTAACACCAGCAACTAACATAAAGCAGATGCAGAGTACACTGCAGTCAAAGGGAGTTTTCTGTTAATTTGGGTGGGCTTATATTTGCATGGAGCTTGTATTGAGCTGTAAAGACCAAATTCCTCAGAGGGCAAGGGGCTCGCAGGTTCTGTTCAGCTGCATTGCTCTGTGGCAGAACAACAGTCGCATGCCCCTTAGAGACAAATCACACATGGAGAGTGAACTCCTCTTGACTGTTGTTGCTTCTTATTTTCTGAATGTTCTTTGCAATCTATTTCAAATTATACCTGCCTGGTTTTAATGCAAAATACAGGTTTACATAATTTTTTTTTTCCCCACCATTTTTCATGTTCCTACGCAAGTTAGGAGAGATGCTGTATTATGCCATGCTCAGGTCCAGACTTTACCTGCTTGACTGTAGTACAGGCTCATTGCCTGAGGCTCCTTCTACTAGTCAGTAGGGAGAGGCAGGCACATTCAGGTGGAAAATCAGCTAAGCTAAATAACATTCTGGAGGTAGCTATCAGAGAAAGTCTGGGGTAATGTGGCTGCTGTCTTTAGATGTTTTGGCAAAGTGCTCAAAGTTAAGTTGGAATTGATCTAGACCTTGCCCTTCAAGTTACATGGTCATTAATATTAGACCTGAGCTGCTGTATTAATGTCCCTCTTCCCTTTTGCTATGGACCAAATATGGATTGAGAATGGTATTTTTGTTGAATTGGCCAGTAGACACAATGCAGAGTTGATTTCATCTGTGTTAGGAGATGCAGATTTGGTATGAAGCTGACCAGCATAAAGATAACTTGTTAATGGTTTTGAACGAATCTGAGCTAGTGCATGTATCCTGATGCTTTATATGTTGGTGCTGGTTTGGGTATGGTACAGGGAGCCTGAATGCCAGCTTTTCTGTCCTGATGGAACACTAGGGCTTAGCAGAGATTGAAATTGATGTTGGCTCTGCCATGTCATCAGATGCATGTGTAAATACCCAACCATCACATGAAACAGCTAAAAAGTAAAAGGGAAATATTTGAAGTTAAGAAGGAGCTGTCTTCAATCCTCCAGTTTACTTCTGCAGCCTTTGGATTCTTTCTCAGACTCACTTCCTTTAGCTTATGACAGGCAGAAAAGTAATTTTGTTCTGAGTAAGACAAAAATCCCCTCTAAACATTTTTGTTATCTCATACAGTTCATAAAGAGCAAAGGGGGAGCAGCTGCTTCCGATGAAGAACATTCTCTGTGGAGGGGATGGATAGAGGACAAATGTGAAAGTTCAGTGTGAGTGTTACTGGGAATCCTGAATTAAATCCATATTTCATCAAAAATGGAACAAAACATGCTGCTTAAGGCTTTGCTTCCTTGAATGTTATAGAAGAGGTTACTTGTGAATGGGAGCAAGCAGTGCCTGAAACTTCTGGACATCGTTTTAGGTTAGTATTACTTGCTTCCACTATTGGGAGGCAGCAATGTTTTTGCGTGGGGGACAGGATTTCCCAGTATGATACATAATTGCAATATACATTAGTAAGCTCTAGCTATTAGTGCTAAATCTGCTTAGGTTAAGCTAAGTCTGTTACAAACACCACAGGCAGGCACTGGAGCTGGGATAATATAAAGAATAGGATTTCAGAAACTTAACAGTGGAGGTTTAAAGAGTCTCTCTGCAGCACCGTATAAAAGCCCTTCCAGGTGGGTAACATCCAAAGTGTAGGGGCTTTAGGATCCAGGCAGGGGATGCTGCATTTTTCCTGAGCTGCAAAGCTGGGCTGTCTTCCTTTGAGAAAGAAGGGGAGGAGGAGGAACACAGAAAAGAAAAGCTGAACTGTAACATGCACGTTGTTACGGCTCTGTCCTGTGGTCCCTGTGGGAGCTGGAGTACCTGCAGTTATCGGGCAGGACCAGCTACAGGTGTCCACTAGAGATGGAGTGCTGGAGGAGACAAAGCAGCTTTTGTGTCACCTGGGTGCTTGCTGCACTCCAGGACGCGTCGGGAGCCAAGCACGATGCTCCCTTTGTGCAAGCTGCAGCAGCCCAGTGTTTATTCCAAGCATGAAGCTCTGTGTACCGTGACCCGCTGTGAACCCCGGGAGCAGGGGACAGCCAAGGGACACTGCTCCCTGCTGTGCTGCGCTCTGTCCCGGGTCAGCATCCCTGCCCTGCTGCCGGCGGGGAGCAGTGCCAGCCAGCCCTCCCTTTCCACTAAAGGCGGCGGAGGAGGCTCCATCCATAGGATGCTGCTGCTCCTGCTCTTCTGAAAGGCCACCTCTACCCCTGCTGCAGGGAACTGCGTGCAACGGCCGACGCTGTAACCGAGCTTTCTCCTCTACAGTAAAAATAGGTCGGTGTCTTTAGCATTTTTTTATTTTGCTGTTGCTGGAGGCAGCAGCTGCTCTCTCCTGATGTTAGGGAAGGGCCTCCCTAGTCTTCTGTGACCCCCACACCTTTCTTTTAAAATCATGGTCCCTTTTTAAGTAACACAAAATCTTTCTTAGGAGACCTCATTTGTCTACATTTTTTATGCTGCCTTATCCCTTTAGCATGATCACATGTGATCCAGGCATTTTTCAAACCAGTTCTTTTGGAGATTACCTTATTGTCTCTCCTAAATATTTGTTGTTCGTTAGATATCTCCTCAGGCATAAATTTGAGCTGTTAGCTAGAGTGCCAGAAGATATATCAGCACCTTTTGCACCCTCATCTAAATTTTTTTTTTTTCTGTTTTGCGCCACTGTGAACCTCCCTTTGCAGTCCACGTGAGCAGCAATCTGTTTGGAGGCAGCATGAGGTTTGTCTGCATCAAAAGCATCCAGCCCTGTGGGTTGTACCAGCTGGTAGTGTTAGAAGTGTGCCACGGATGCATGTGTCCGTCAGTCGCTGGTGGGCTCATCACTCTAATGCTGTGACTGTCCCCGGCAATTTGCATGTTGTTCATTTTTAGCCAGCTTCTCATTCCTAAGGGATTACACTGGTCTTTGTTCATCGGTGTCCCTTCTGTAGAAGGCCACGCGCAAACAAATACATTGATTCACTTGGTTAACTTATGAACTTTTTTCCTAATGTGTGTTGAATGTATTAAAAGAAACCTCCTCTAATCCTATGAAATTGAATTGTTCTTAAAAGCACGCTGGGCTGTTTTTGCAAACCCCGTCTCTTCCTACTTTCCCAGCACGCGTGAAGGGCATGGTTGAGGAGAAGACCTTCTAATAAGGCATCGTTACACTGTGCTTAGCCAGTATTACAGCAAGCATCATACCGTATTGCTAACTTCCTAAATGTAGACTCTTCCAAACATCGTTTCATGAGTCGGATTCATTTTAGTTTATCAGTATCTCATCTATGTAAAACATGTAGTGCTGGCTTAAGGTCGTACCATAGTGTAGCATGATTTAAAATGTATCATGTTTTACATATTGATGCAAATAGCCAGAATTGTTTCAGACTCACACCATTTCTAAGGATAATTATGGTGTAGTGTAGCAGCTGCTCTGACAGTACTTCTAAGAGTATTGCCCTCTAATGCTTTATGTGTGATAGATAAATGCCATGCTGTTAGTACACAGCGGATATTCTCAATTAGTACAACTGGTTGAAGTGCTGATTTAAAAATCGTGATTCTCTTCCCAGCACTACATGTGTGTATATCGAACAGCGTAATTTTGATTAAGTTTAAGGTTTAGTGCACGTTTGGAAGAAGCTTGGAGGACTAGGGAAGGCCTGTGGTCCAGACATGTGACTGCAATGGTAAATACCAGAATTTTTTTAATTTTAGTGATCCAGTGGGCTATAGGAGGTGGGAATATGGCACAGGCTTGTAAAGTACATCTTCTCCTTGCCGAGACAGGGACCGAGACAACAATACTGTATGATGGGGCTGTTAATTTTTCTTCTTCTTTGGGCTCTTTGCCAAATTAGCAGCAATCTTTCTCTTACATCTGTGTAACAACTCTGCTACTGCTGTGAAGGAATAGCTCTTTTTGCAACATTAATAGTTAACATATTTTTTGTTTCATAGGCTAGGCAATGATGACAACCAGTTTGAGATCAGCATGGCCAACAGTGGATGTGAAGTGCATCGCTTTGACCCCAGCATCAAGTCAGCACACATTCAGGAGGGTCGACACCTCTGGTATCATCGCCTGTCCATTGACTGGAGGGATCCCAATCCAGCCATAGCTGCTCATAAACTTCACAGCAACACCAAGAAGCTGGGCACGATATTGAATGAATTTGGACATCAGAAGGTAAGGACTTGGGGGTCAGGTTTCTGACTGCAGGATTAGGTGTTGGGAGAGCTGCAGAACTTCCTCCTGGCTGTCTCAGGAGTTCGGGCACTTTCCAAGGTTATCTCCTGACAATGGGTCTTTCTTCAGCAATACTTGCAATGCATTTCTTGTAGGGCTGCCTTTTCTGTCTTGCTTTTTCTGTGTGCTAATAACAGCCACCTTGATTTTAAATCACCAGCCATACACTAAATACTTTCCTCCTCCTCCCCCCGCCCTTTTCCCTTCAACTAGCTGGTGACATTGCGTGCAAGTATTTTCGGTCCTGTGGAGGTTCTGGTCTTTGCCTGAGTATGAGTGCTTAACTACTCATACAGCCAAGTTCATAAGGAGAAAAAAAATATATTTGCAACAATAATTAGAAGAGGTAATGGATGGGTTGTTTACATTTTCAATGTCACTGGTCCTAATTAGTCATCAACAACAAAAACATCCTGTTTTGAAACTGGCAGCAATCTGTGGGTTTTTTTAACATTTCCCAGTTTGTTTTTAAGAACTGTAAAGACATCAGAAATCTTCAAGTCTCACATAACTGTTGCCAGAATACATTTGAGGAAGTTCCTTAGGTTGCTTTTAAGAGAGTTTTTCCTTCGAAGGATATACAAGCATGAATGCAAATGCTAATACACTTCATTGCCTGCAGCTAGTTCTGCTTGTCTTTGTTTTTTTAAGAAATAGGCAGCCTGAGCTAAGAAGAGGCTTTTCTGTAAGATTTACAAAGCAAAGCAGCACAATGTTTGTTTGGTTTGTTATAAAATGCAAGATGTCCTTTTCAGTTCACTTGTTTTTCATCAGTATTTTCTTTCAGTTCAGCTCTACTGATTGGACCATTTTGAAGATAAGAGCAGAAAAAAGGCTTTTTCCTACTTCTTAGTCATACTGTAACTATACTAGGCTTGTGCATTAGTGAAATATCTGGGGAGAGAAAGATGGCTTTCCTTTGACATGTGCCTTACATTGATTGTTTTGATTTTAGAAGAATTAGTCACAGAGAAAATGATTAATGACCTGATCCAGAAGAAGTGTATGAGTCTTGTGATTTACCAGACCTGCTGAGAACAGTCAGTTCTCAGGTTATCATGGTAGTACAGAGCGATTGTAAGACGTTCTGTGAGCGAGAAGGGTGTAGTTATGAATTCGGAGTAATTGTCTGGGCGAAAGTTATCTGACGTGAAAGCAGCCGGCTGGAGGGCAGCCAAGGAACATCATGCACATGTAACACATGCAGTCAGGCTTTCCTCTAGCTGTGTACACATAGATTAGGATTTGGTTAAGTGTGTTGGCACATTATGAACAGTGTCTACAGCCTCTTGCTCTATCAGCATTCGAGTAGCTCGCCTGTGCAAAACTATGGCATTAGTGAAGTCAGGGGCTGACTTTCTCCTGGTGAGGATAAAGCTGTTATACACTCTGCAATCTTCTGTTACTTCCTATTTGTGAGGTACCTGAATAGGCTGACTCTCCTCACATTGTTCTGTTTAGTTTTTCTTTAATTTGGAAGGCAGCCTGAGAAGTTGTGTGTTGCATAAAGACACTGATAAGCCTCACTTTATGAAGGGAACATAAAAGTAAATACTGTGACATTCAGGTTTTCATTCTTCCAGTGACTGTGAGTGGAATGTTCCCTTGACTGAATAAATAAGTTAATTCAAAACAGTTTCATAGAAAATTTCCAAAGCACTTTTTTTCAATTAGAAAGTTAAAACACGCTCTTTGTCCCATTCTTTTTAATTTTAAAAATCCTTCTGCCTACCCTCAAAGTCTTTCCATTCCCGCTTCAAGGCAGGAATTCCAGGGAGCTACATTTGAAGTTAATGCCTCATTTTCTCCTTGCTTTTATTCTTCAAGATTTGGGACTTGCTCCAAGACCTTCCAAGTGATTGAGACTATTTCCACTGACAAAGTCAGATATTTTGGATTGGGCTGATGAAGAGAGGATAGACAAGGCCTCCTGGAGTTCTTGCCATTGTAGCCCTGAAAAGAAAACATGCAGTTCGGAGGTTTTGTGTGCAAGGGAATCAAAGAACTTGCAGGCGTTCGTTTACACTCTGGCTCGGTTGAGAGCACACCTGCTATTCTGCAGTCAGTACTGGGACCTTATCCACAGAAAGGGAAACCCATCCTGATGTTATGGCAAGAAATACAAACAGGTTTTGGGCATTAGAGTGGATTTGAGGAAAGATTAAAAAGAACTCGATCTTTCTAATTTGCTATGTGGCGTAATAGTCCTCAGTTCCCTGGGGAGTGTAAATAGCCTGGAGGTAGAGGACTTACCTAGTACTATATTAGGATGAGACTGACAAAGGAAACATGTCATCAGAGTATTTTGGGGAACTGTTAGAGTGTGAAATCTTTTAAGCCCTGGAATAATCTCCAAAGGATGTTATAAGAGTCCCGTTTCCTGGTACACATATATAAACTGAAAATTTACTGGTGTATCGTCTAAGAAGAGCAGTATTTTATCGGCCAGAGGAAAGGATAAAGATGTAAAAATTGATCTTGCTTATCTCCCCCGCCCCCTCACCCCCCCATTCTTTTTGCTGAACGTGCACACTCTGTAGTGCTGCTGCTGAGCAGTGGAAAAAAGGGAGAAAGCCACTGAATGCATGGGATTTTCTTTTTTATGGCAGTGGAGTTCAACTTTGTGAAAGTTTTCGCTTTCATATTCTCTAACTACCTACTGGGGTGAGGATGCCACAGTGCTGGTGTTCCCCATGGCTTAGTGGTAGCTGGATGGAGAACTTCCTTCATACAGAGTTGCTGGATGATTCGTCAGAAGGGATCTTGAGAGGCCTGTAGTTCAATTCCCTGCTCAAAGCAAGGCAAGCTCTGAATTCAGACCAGGTTTGAACAAGCTTTATGCACTCTGGTCTTGAAAACCGTTGAGTTTTTTCCAGGACTTGGCCTTCGTCCTTGTTGAATTTCATCAGGTTTCTGTCGGCCCATCCCTCCAGCCTGTCTGGGTCCCTCTGGATGGCAGGTCTGCCCTTGAGTGTGGGTATTGACTGGTCCCACCAATTTGGTGACATCCACAAACGTGGCAAGGGGGTCATATCTAACACCTCCTTTAGGTAACTGATAAAGATGTTAAACAGGATGAATCATAGTGTAGACCCTGTGGCACTCTACTTGTAACTGACTTCCAGGTGGGGTACAACCACTGCCCTCTGAGCCCAACCATCCAACTGGTTTCTTAATTATGTGGTTGTCTGTTCATCCAGACTGTAACGTCCTGACCTGGATACAAGACTGCTGTGGGAGACAGTGTCAAATATATATCCCAGTGCTCTTCTAAACTAGCTGGTTCCATGGTCTTGCAAGGAGATCATCAATCTGAATTTCAGTTACAAAGGGGCCAATTCAGCTGTCTAAATAAACCATTCACCTAGTCCCAGAGTAGATTTGTGTTGTGTATGGTATCAGTGTCCTCCTCAGAAGGTTGCTGTGTTCCATATAGCCCAGTTTTTAGTACGCAATAAAGCTATAAAGAGACCATACTGAAATGCGAGCTCCCCCCCCCAACATTATCCCCTCTACAAAAAATTCTAACCCTTAACCAGAAATTCAAACCAAGCTGCTACATGTATTCTACATGACAAAAGTTATGCTATAAAGCAAAATTTAAAATCTTTCACAGAAAGGCCCTGAGCAGCAGAAGCAAGCAGGAGTTTGTTCTGTCCTGAATGGGCATGCACGAGTAAATCATGCGTGTTCACACGTGCAGACTTCTCCTTCAGTAGTAGTTTTCCCCTTTCTGGAGCTCTGTAGGACAAATCTCATGTGATGCCATCAGTAAGTGCTATAAGCTTGCATTCCTTGGCAGTATAGCTCAGCAGTGGATGAGGTGGTTTCTTGGAAAACAAATTAAGCTGGAAAGGAGAATCCGAGAATGCAAAGTAAAACCTTCATTTAATCAGAAAGTGCTCATAGGTATAACTTTCGGGGGACAGCAGAGCTGCCTGCGTTCAACTCCTGCCATTCAAGTCAGCTTGAACAAATTGTGTAAGAGACCAAACCGTGTTGTCATTTATTATGAAAAGAAACGCAAAGCAATCTTTTAAGTCCTGATTTTTACTTGAAGGCTTTAATTTACACTGGCTCTTCATGAAGATTTTTTTCTGTGACAACCTGTCTAGCAGGTGCCTGCTTCGTTTTATTGAATGGGCTTAGATTTAAGGTTTCAGAAAGAAAAACCTCCTCCCTTTCACCTGTTATTTAATACTTGACACAACTTCAAAACACTACACCCTGAAGCCATTTTGATTAATAACCTCATCTCCTCCAAGGCAAGTAATTTATCACTTGCTCCTCTCCTAAAGCAGATACTATAGAGTCTATTTTGTGCTGCACTTTCAGTTTTGTGAAGACTGGTGTGAAAGAGCAAACATTAAAGAAAATCGATTTACCATTTTGGTTTAAAATCGGCTCTGTTGCAGTACACAAGTAAGTATAAAAGAAAAGCCCTGGGAAAACTGTGTAACAACATAGTTGTGCATGGAGATTTGATTAACAAAACAAAAAACTACCTCTCTAGGTTGGGGGAAGTCCACGTTTAAGTTTTGGAGCAACCAAATCCATGCAATTACTCTATTATGCACACCTCAGGTCTTCAGGGGCCAGAATAGTGTGCTGGTTTTGGCTGGGATAGAGTTGTTTGGGTTTTTTTTTCTAGTAGCTGGCATAGTGCTGTGTTTTGGATTTAGTATGAGAAGAATGTTGATAATTCACTGATGTTTTAGTTGTTGCTAAGTAGTGCTTACACTAGTCAAGGACTTGTCCCAGAGCACTGCCTTTTTTTTAAAGTGTAAATGGCTGGTCCTGGCCTATTTGTAGAAGGAGTAACTGTGCACAGTAAAGTCCCGCGTTAGCACTGGACCCTTTTGCACCAGGCAGCTGTAATACCATTGCTGTAAAAGCTTATAGTCTAAATAAATGACCTGCCAGGGGATGGAGGAGCATGG